TCCTTCCTTCCGAACGTTTCGCGAACCGGGAAAAAACCGAAAAACCGCGTCGACGTCGCCCGCCCAAAATTTCTAACGTCACGTGACCTCTTCCTTAAAAAATCGATCACCGCTTAATATAGTCGACTAGCGCAGTTTCTGGCATGCTAACGCTATGCCAAATATTGTACGTTGATGTCTTTATTTAAAACCTCACGTAGCGCAGTTGCTGGTATGCTAATGCAATGCTAGCGATAACTATCTCTAATCATTTTCTATCCTTTGGCATCTTTGATCTGGTATCTGGTATCTGAGTCTGGTATCTGGTATCTGATGTCTGGTATCTGGTGTCTGGTATCTGGTATCTGGTGTCTGGTATCTGGTGTCTGGTGTCTGGTATCTGGTATCTGGTGTCTGGTGTCTAGTATCTGGTCTGGTATCTGGTATCTGATTGTGGGTCTGGTGTCTGGTATCTGGTATCTGGTATCTGGTCTGGTATCTGGTATCTGGTGTCTGGTATCTGGTGTCTGGTATCTGGTGTCTGGTATCTGGTATCTGGTGTCTGGTATCTGGTGTCTGGTATCTGGTATCTGGTATCTGGTGTCTGGTGTCTGTATCTGGTGTATCTGGTATCTGGTGTGTGTCTGGTGTCTGGTATCTGGTATCTTGGCTGATGTCTGGTATCTGGTCTGGTATCTGGTATCTGGTGTCTGGTATCTGGTATCTGGTGTGGTATCTGGTATCTGGTATATGGTATCTGGTGTCTGGCATCTGGTATCTGGTATCTGGTGTGGATCTGGTATCTGGTATCCGGTGTCTGGTGTATGGTGTCTGGCATCTGGTATCTGCTATCTGGTATCTGGTGTCTGGTATCTGGTGTCTGGTATCTGGTCTGGTGTCTGGTGTCTGGTATCTGGTATCTGGCATCTCGTATTTGGTATCTGGTGTCTGGTATCTGGTATCTGGAATCATATATCTGGTATCTGGTATCTGATGTCTGGTATCTGGTATCTGGTATCTGGTATGGTATCTGGTGTCTGGTATCTGGTATCTGGTATTTGGTATCTGTTATCTCTTTATCTGGTATCGGTTCTGGTGTCTGGTATCTGGTCTGGTGTCTGGTGTCTGGTATCTGGTATCTGGTATCTCGTATCTGGTATCTGGTATCTGGTATCAGGTATGATGTTTGGTATCTGGTGTCTGGTATCTGATGTCTGGTATCTGGTGTCTGGTATCTGGTGTCTGGTATCTGGTGTCTGGTATCTGGTGTCTGGTATCTGGTGTCTGGTATCTGGTATTTGGTATCTGTTATCTCTTTATCTGGTATCTGGTGCTGGTCTGGTATCTGGTATCTGGTATCTGGTATCTGTGTGGTATCTGGTACTGGTATCTGGTATCTGGTGTCTGGTGTCTGGTATCTGGTATCTGTATCTGGTATCTGGTATCTGGTATCTGGTGTCTGGTATCTGGTATCTGGTGTCTGGTGTCTGGTATCTGGTTCTGGTGTCTGGTATCTGGTGTCTGGTGTCTGGTATCTGATGTCTGGATGATGTCTGGTATCTGGGTCTGGTGTCTGGTATCTGTGTCTGGTGTCTGGTACTGATGTCTGGTATCCGATCTGGTATCTGGTGTCTGGTCTGGTATCTGGTATCTGGTGTCTGGTATCTGGTATTGTGTCTGGTATCTGGTGTCTAGTATCTGGTTTCTGGTATCTGCTATCTGGTATCTGTTATCTTTTATAAGTTATCAGTTTTCATTTTTCATTTTTCTATTTTAATTTTAATTTTTAATTTTTAATTTTTAATTTTAATTTTTAATTTTTAATTTTAATTTTAATTTTTAATTTTTAATTTTTAATTTTTAATTTTCGATTTTTCGATTTTTCGATTTTTCGATTTTTCGATTTTTCGATTTTTCGATTTTTCGATTTTTCGATTTTTGATTTTTCGATTTTCGATTTTTCGATTTTTCGATTTTTCGATTTTTCGATTTTTCGATTTTCGATTTTTCGATTTTTCGATTTTTCGATTTTTCGATTTTTCGATTTTTCGATTTTTCGATTTTTCGATTTTTCGATTTTTCGATTTTTCGATTTTTCGATTTTCGATTTTTCGATTTTTCGATTTTCGATTTTTCGATTTTTCGATTTTTCGATTTTTCGATTTTCGATTTTTCGATTTTTCGATTTTTCGATTTTTCGATTTTCGATTTGATTTTTGATTTTTATCTTTGATTTTTGATTTTGATTTTTGATTTAGATTTTTGATTTTTGATTTTTTTGATTTTTGATTTTTGATTTTTGATTTTTGATTTTGATTTTTGATTTCAATTTTCATTTTCATTTTTCATTTTTCATTTTTTTTCATTTTTCATTCTTCAGATTTCAGTTTTCATTTTTTAGTTTTCAGTTATCAGTTATTTGTTATCTGTTACCTGTTTTCTTCTATCTGTTACTTTTTATCTGTTATCTGTCATATTTTATCTTTTATCTGTTATAAGTTATCTGTTATATGTTACCACCTGTTACCTGTTACCACCTTTTACCTGTTATCTGTTGTCTGTATCTTCCATATAGCATTGAAAATATCCTGTATACAATTGTATAACAGACTCAGATTTATGTGAGATGCCGGCAACGTCGCATGTGTTGTTGTTAATACCATACATGGCGTTATAAAATCTTCCATGTAGCAAATTGTATAGCAGACTTAGATTTATATGAGGATCGTCGCATAAATCTAGCTATAACACGACTTGCAAAAAATGGCGCTTGACACTGACATATGTCAACCGTGTTCGTCTATGGATAGCAGTGGACTATGCTTTCTTCAGTGTATATGTTTTCTGTTTTGTAATGTCAATGTCATTGTCATAGGTAATTTTTTCTAACCTGGAAAATGAAATGTATTTTGTTTAAAATTAAAATTCAATAACTCCTATTGTGAGATGTGTGCATCTACAACATAATGAAAGGAAAAATTAAGATTCTGAAAGTTAATTCCTAAATATCATAGTAAGGAAATCCGTAAAACTAAAAAAAAAGTAAACATAAACACCTTGAGAAAACTTCTTCCGTATCAAGTGGTTAAAGTGGAGTTTTAAAACAATTTTTGTTGAAAATAAGGCCGTTAGTTTACAAGCAGGTATGTAACTGAGCGATCCGCTAATGTGTGTGTATCTTGCTTATAAAAAATAGGATATTGATAGGATATTTTCAAATTGAACTTTTGTCTTATTTTTACTATTTATTGCAGGAGAACAGTTGTTGAACCAGGTCCTGGTGCATACTTATGTAGTTGTCACTTTGTGGATGGGAAAAAAGAAAATAGACCTACATTGTTTAGGTATAATAGGGAGAAGCAATTGAACTTTCCATCGCCAGAAAGAAGAACCCGTAAAAACAACAATGTGAAAATTGAACTCTATAATATGTTACTTCAAATTGGGCCCTTTTAAGGGATGTATGTAATAATTATGTGATCTGCAAAATAAAAAATAGTTTAGATACAACACATGGCATCATAAATTATTTTAATGTAGAGTTCAGTACTCGTATAGGTAACTTTCACTCCCCTGGCAGGCTTAATCTAAGCGATATCACAAATATGTCTATACCAAGTTACGATTATACTGTGCAAGAGTACTTATCTTACAAATTTTGACAAGTAATGGTGTCTGTTGTTTTGACAAGTCTTGGAAGTCACAAGTTCTTAAAGCAGCTACATTCTAAATCGATTTAGATCAAAATAAACAACTGCAGTGGCTGTGAAAGTCTTAGTAATTTTGAAAACTTTGGTAGTAGATATGATTATCAATGCTATTTTTCAGCGCTTTGCATATTCCTTCATCTGCTTGATAATATTTGCCAATCGAAGGGATAGATGACAAGTTTGTTTACTTATTTTCCATTTATACATACTACTCAGGTGAGATACTACTACTACAAGGTTTTTACAATATTTATGAGTTTGTTGGTGGTAAAGTTCTTCGTTTGGGAAAAATTCAACAGAAGCAGATGAACAATGCTCGCTTTATGATCTGGAGAAAAATGTGCTATCGCCTTAAAATAAAATTTCCTCTATTTTTTTTAATGTTGTATGATTATGATCAATCAATTAGAAACATGACATATAATAATAACATCTCAAAAAATTAGACCAGAAGCTTGAAATTATTAAGTACTATAGTTGTTGGACAGTAAGTAATAGTATCGCTTGAAAATCAAATTTTGTAATCTGTTTCCTCTGATTCAATAATGAATTTTTCTGTAATCTATGATTAAGATCAGTTTAGAAACAGGACAGATGTGAGTATCCTTGAAATTAGACATATAATAAACATCTTTAAAAACAGAATAGAAATCTGAAATCATCAAGTGCTATAGTTTTTTGACAAGTAATGGTGTCTGTTGTTTTGACAAGTCTTGGAAGTGACAAGTCTCCTTAAAGCAGCTACATTCTAAATCGAAGTACATACATTCTGCATTGAGATCAAAATAAACAACTGCAGTGGCTGTGAAAGTCTTAGTAATTTTGAAAACTTTGGTAGTAGATATGATTATCAATGCTATTTTTCAGCGCTTTGCATATTCCTTCATCTGCTTGATAATATGTGCCACTGTTAGCCAGCTAATAGGTCTACATATTTAGATACATTGAACTGAGGGTCAAGACTGAACTCTTACTGAACTTCATAGAAGTGACTGACTACTTACGTTTGCAATAGAAACACATAAACTGTAAACACTTCACACAACACTTTCACTATTTGTAGCTGCGATTGCTTGTTCTAAGCTTCTAATTAATCCTTATTAACGGGAGCCTCATTATTAAGATTTCGATAATGTTTACATTCATATACGTTGTAGGTTAGAAATCGGAGGTGATGCAATCGGACATTCGCTGTATATCAATCGGTTGGAAAAGCGGAGCTTTATGCCATATTGTAAAATTATAACATGAATAGGGGCTTACAATCATATTTTTATCGTATTTATAAACCGATGATGATTTCAATAAATTGATGAACGTCAAAGAATAATTGCAGCCTTTGGCGGTTGACATCGCAATCTGTAAACATAGAAAAACTACTAGATTCATACGATTTTAATGGCTCTAGTCCGGTCCGTTTAGACAATGGAATATAGAAATTTTGAATCTTTTCGAAAATGTTTTTTCACGCGTAAAAAAGGACAATGGTATTCGGCGTGATCCTATATTCGATGAAGCGACCAACATAAGCCGAAAATGGCACGTTTTTGACGTTCCGCTCGCACTCGCTCGCTTTCGTAATACGATCGTATCTACTACCCCCCTAACAGGAATCCGGGGATCTGGAGGGGAAATTCAAAATTGAAACGTCAAACTAAAAATGTGTGCATATCTTTGAATTTTGTAATCTGCCGAGTTTAAAAAATGCGATCGGGTAACGTGTCGTATGTCGGTTTAATCAGGAGACTTTGGTCTTTCGTTTTGCGAAAAAAAATCGTAGCTACGTCGCTCCGTAACGCAGGTCCGTATCGACGAAGACAAAGTACGCCGAAAAACGGTTGTCATCGGTACTTTTGAGGCGCTCAAAGTTTACTTTTTCGAAATTTGACGGTAATTCTGACGGTCAGAATCGTTTCGTCAGCTCATTATCGTTATTTTTCGATAGCTGTATAATTTTTACTCGCTCACGTACGGTAGTAATAAGCGAGGACAGAGCCGGATGACAAGGTGACTTTTTCACGCGTCGAAAAGTAGCGTATTGTCGAGGAATTTTTAAAAAATCGAAACTTTTCAACGTAAACGAATAATGATGATGAAAATAGTATTAAAAGATGTCCGAAGCATGGACTTTCTCACGCAAAAATCGTCAGGTTCGTAGCTCCTTTATCTTCGGAGGAGATAGCTGATATACGGCGAAGCAGCGCGCTTTATACGCAAAAAAGTCATTCTTGACGACGTTCGAGGTTCGTTTACTCGAAACGGGTACCGTAAACGAAAAAACGTCTCTCCGCGTAATTTGTAGCGCTCGCCGAGATGTACGAAACGCGGCACGCGAAATTCCTTTTCTCTTCGGCATAAGGGAGATATCGTAGTTTTCAAGGCGATTCGTCATTTTTGTCGCTTTTTTTTCGAACATTTCTAGAAAAAAAACCGAGACGCGGAACCGAACAGATTTAGCTTATGGTACGTATTTCTCGTTTAGCTATCGAACGAGACCGATCTCGAGTCGATATTTCGATAAACGGCGAAACGAGTGTGAAATAACGCCGCGTACCGTCCGAAAAACGGTCGATTTTTCGACTTTACCGGCCGTTTTCGATCCGATCCGTTCCTCTCGCCGCGACGGCTCTCGCCCGCCCGTAAAGCGCCGAGTTTCTACTTTCCGAAACGGTACCTCTTTCCTCCGAACGTACCGCGAACCTCCTAAAAAACCGCGAAAACCGCGTCGACGTCACAATTTCCGAACCACTACAATCACTACCAATCAAAAACAATCGATCACCGCTTAATATAGTCGACTAGCGCAGTTTTTAGCATGCCAACGCTATGCTAAATATTGTCCGTTGATGTCTTTATTTAAAACCACCCGTAGCGCAGTTGCTGGTATGCTAATGCAATGCTAGCGATATTACTTTATCCCTATCTCTAATCGTTTTTTATCCTTTGGCATCTTTGATCTGTTATCTCGTATCTGGTATCTGGTGTCTGGTGTATGGTATTTGGTATCTGTTATCGCTTTATCTGGTACTGGTATCTGGTGTCTGGTATCTGGTGTCTGGTATCTGGTATCTAGTGCCTGGTATGGTATCTGGTGTCTGGTATCTGGTGTCTGGTCTGGTATCTGGTATCTGGTATCTGTGTCTGGTATCTGGTATCTGGTATCTGATGTCTGGTATCTGGTATCTGGTGTCTGGTACTGGTATCTGGTGTCTGCTATCTGGTGTCTGGTATCTGGTGTCGGTGTCTGGTCTGGTAATTTTTAATTTTTTCGATTTTTCGATTTTTCGATTTTTCGATTTTTAGATTTTTAGATTTTAGATTTTTAGATTTTTAGATTTTTAGATTTTTATTTTTTGATTTTTTGATTTTTGATTTTTTGATTTTTTGATTTTTTGATTTTTTGATTTTCGATTTTTCGATTTTTCGATTTTTCGATTTTTTGATTTTTCGATTTTGATTTTCGATTTTTCGATTTTTCGATTTTCGATTTCGATTTTTCGATTTTGATTTTTGATTTTTTTGATTTTTGATTTTTGATTTTTTTTTTGATTTTTGATTTTTGATTTTTTGATTTTTTTTTTTTGATTTTTTGATTTTTTTTTTTTTTTTTCACCTTATTTCTGCTGACGATTTCCGTTTTCCGTTTTTCGTTTTTTGTTTTTCGTTTTTCATATTTTATTTCATTTTTTCATTCTTCATATTTCATTTTCATTTTTCATTTGCATTTTTCATTTTTCATTATTCATTTTTCAACGTCGCATGTGTCACCATAAATAACACACAATGGCATTATAACTCTCGTCGATAGCGCATTAATGCCCTCTATTGTATGACAAACTCAGATTTATGTGAGGATCCGGCAACGTCGCATGTGTCACCATAAATAACACACAATGGCATTATAAAATCTTCGCTATAGCATTAATGCCCTCTATAAATTGTATGACAAACTCCGATTTATGTGAGGATCCGGCAACGTCGCATGTCTAGCTACCGCACTTACAAAAAATGGCGCTTGACACTTGACATATCTCAACCGTGTTCGTCTAAGGATAGCACCTTCTCTTCAGTGTAAATGTTTTATGATTTGACAGGAATAAAAATTATTTTTACCTTATTTAAATCTGCTGACGATTAATAAGGATACCTCACGATCTTCTTAAAAGATGAAATACGTTATCACGATAGATACACTGAGGCACTCGTCTGAACCGAAAAAGTGTAAACACTCGGCACCGGGTATCACTACACAATACACACACTGTTATAAGTACAAAGTCTTGCTATGTTGTGGATTTCTGCTCTCTTCAGGAATTGATCTTTGGCATTAATAACGTCTTTCAATCATATTTATCGTATTTAAGCTGATGAACTGCTAAACGTGAAAGAATAATTGCACAATCTGTCAGTAAACATCGGAATCTATCGGTAATCATCGCAATCTGTCGGTAAACACCGAAACCTACTCGATTGTTATAACGAATAAGGGTATAGTCCGGTACCGTTTGTACTATAGAATATAGAAATTTTGAATCCTTTCGGAAATGTTTATTTTCACGCGTAAAAAAGGACAATGGTATTCGGCGTGATCCTATATTCGATGAAGCGACCAACATAAAGCCGAAAATGGCACGTTTTGACGTTCCGCTTGCACGCGCTCGCTTTCGTAATACGATCGTGTCTACAATACCCCGCCTAACAGGAATCCGGGGATCTGGAGGGGAAATTCAAAATTGAAACGTCAAACTAAAAATATCTGCATATCTTTGAATTTTTAATCTGCCGAGTTTAAAAAATGCGATCGGGTAACGTGTAGTATGTCGGTTTAATCAGGAGACTTGGTCTTCGTTTGCGAAAAAAAAACGTAGCTACGTCGCTCCGTAACGCAGGTGCGTATCGACGAAGACAAAGTACGCCGAAAAACGGTTGTCATCGGTACTTTTGAGGCGCTCAAAGTTTACTTTCTCGAAATTTGACGGTAATTCTGACGGTCAGAATCGTTTCGTCAGCTCATTATCGTTATTTTTCGATAGCTGTTAATTTTTACTCGCTCACGTACGGTAGTAATAGCGAGGACAGAGCCGGATGACAAGGTGACTTTTTCACGCGTCGAAAGTAGCGTGTTGTCGAGGAATTTTTAAAAATCGAAACTTTTCAACGTAAACGAATAATAATGATGAAAATAGTATTAAAAGAGTGTCCGAAGCATGGACTTTCTCACGCAAAAATCGTCAGGTTCGTAGCTCCTTTATCTTCGGAGGAGATAGCTGATATACGGCGAAGCAGCGCGCTTTATACGCAAAAAAGTCATTCTTGACGACGTTCGAGATTCGTTTACTCGAAACGGGTACCGTAAACGAAAAAACGTCTCTCCGCGTAATTTGTAGCGCTCGCCGAGATGTACGAAACGCGGCACGCGAAATTCCTTTCTCTTCGGCATAAGGGAGATATCGTAGTTTTCAAGGCGATTCGTCATTTTTGTCGCTTTTTTTCGAACATTTCTAGAAAAAAACCGAGACGCGGAACCGAACAGATTTAGCTTATTGGTACGTATTTCTCGTTTAGCTATCGAACGAGACCGATCTCGAGTCGATATTTTCGATAAACGGCGAAACGAGTGTGAAATAACGCCGCGTACCGTCCGGAAAACGGTAGATTTTTCGACTTTACCGGCCGTTTTCGATCCGATCCGTTCCTCTCGCCGCGACGGCTCTCGCCCGCCCGTAAGCGCCGAGTTTCTAGTTTCCGAAACGGTACCTCCTTCCTTCCGAACGTTTCGCGAACCGGGAAAAACCGAAAAACCGCGTCGACGTCGCCCGCCCAAAATTTCTAACGTCACGTGACCTCTTTCCTAAAACAATCGATCACCGCTTAATATAGTCGACTAGCGCAGTTTTTAGCATGCCAACGCTATGCTAAATATTGTCCGTTGATGTCTTTATTTAAAACCACCCGTAGCGCAGTTGCTGGTATGCTAATGCAATGCTAGCGATATATACTTTATCCCTATCTCTAATCGTTTTTTATCCTTTGGCATCTTTGATCTGTTATCTCGTATCTGGTATCTGGTGTCTGGTGTCTGGTATTTGGTATCTGTTATCGCTTTATCTGGTATCTGGTATCTGTTGTCTGGTATCTGGTGTCTGGTGTCTGGTATCTGGTATCTAGTGCCTGGTATCTGGTATCTGGTGTCTGGTATCTGGTGTCTGGCATCTGGTATCTGGTATCTGGTATCTGGTGTCTGGTATCTGGTATCTGGTATCTGATGTCTGGTATCTGGTATCTGGTGTCTGGTATCTGGTATCTGGTGTCTGCTATCTGGTGTCTGGTATCTGGTGTCTGGTGTCTGGTCTGGTAATTTTTAATTTTTCGATTTTTCGATTTTTCGATTTTTCGATTTTTCGATTTTTTCGATTTTTCGATTTTCGATTTTTCGATTTTTCGATTTTTCGATTTTTCGATTTTTCGATTTTTCGATTTTTGATTTTTTGATTTTTGATTTTTGATTTTTGATTTTTGATTTTGATTTTTGTTTTTGATTTTTGATTTTTGATTTTTTGATTTTTTGATTTTTTGATTTTTGATTTTTTGATTTTTGATTTTTTGATTTTTTGATTTTTTGATTTTTTGATTTTTGATTTTTTGATTTTTTGTTTGTTTTTGATTTTTTGATTTTTTGATTTTTTGATTTTTTGATTTTTGATTTTTTGATTTTTTGATTTTTGATTTTGATTTTTTGATTTTTGATTTTTGTTTTTTTTTGATTTTTTGATTTTTTGATTTTTTGATTTTTTGATTTTTTATTTTCACCTTATTTAAATCTGCTGACGATTTCCGTTTTCCGTTTTTCGTTTTTTGTTTTTCGTTTTTCATATTTTATTTTCATTTTTCATTCTTCATTTTCATTTTTCATTTTTCATTTTGCATTTTTCATTCATTTTTCATTATTTTTTTCAACGTCGCATGTGTCACCATAAATAACACACAATGGCATTATAAAATCGTCGATATAGCATTAATGCCCTCTATAAAATTGTATGACAAACTCAGATTTATGTGAGGATCCGGCAACGTCGCATGTGTCACCATAAATAACACACAATGGCATTATAAAATCTTCGCTATAGCATTAATGCCCTCTATAAAATTGTATGACAAACTCCGATTTATGTGAGGATCCGGCAACGTCGCATGTCTAGCTACCGCACTTACAAAAAATGGCGCTTGACACTTGACATATCTCAACCGTGTTCGTCTAAGGATAGCACCTTCTATCTTCAGTGTAAATGTTTTATGATTTGACAGGAATAAAAATTATTTTTACCTTATTTAAATCTGCTGACGATTAATAAGGATACCTCACGATCTTCTTAAAAGATGAAATACGTTATCACGATAGATATACACTGAGGCACTTCGTCTGAACCGAAAAAGTGTAAACACTCGGCACCGGGTATCACTACACAATACACACACTGTTATAAGTACAAAGTCTTGCTATGTTGTGGATTTCTGCTCTCTTCAGGAATTGATCTTTGGCATTAATAACGTCTTTCAATCATATTTATCGTATTTAAGCTGATGAACTGCTAAACGTGAAAGAATAATTGCACAATCTGTCAGTAAACATCGGAATCTATCGGTAATCATCGCAATCTGTCGGTAAACACCGAAACCTACTCGATTGTTATAACGAATAAGGGTATAGTCCGGTACCGTTTGTACTATAGAATATAGAAATTTTGAATCCTTTCGGAAATGTTTATTTTCACGCGAAAAAAGGACAATATTCGGCGTGATCCTATATTCGATGAAGCGACCAACATAAAGCCGAAAATGGCACGTTTTTGACGTTCCGCTCGCACGCGCTCGCTTCGTAATACGATTATCTACATACCCCGCCTAACAGGAATCCGGGGATCTGGAGGGGAAATTCAAAATTGAAACGTCAAACTAAAAATCTGCATATCTTTGAATTTTGTAATCTGCCGAGTTTAAAAAATGCGATCGGGTAACGTGTAGTATGTCGGTTTAATCAGGAGACTTTGGTCTTTCGTTTTGCGAAAAAAAAACGTAGCTACGTCGCTCCGTAACGCAGGTGCGTATCGACGAAGACAAAGTACGCCGAAAAACGGTTGTCATCGGTACTTTTGAGGCGCTCAAAGTTTACTTTTCGAAATTTGACGGTAATTCTGACGGTCAGAATCGTTTCGTCAGCTCATTATCGTTATTTTTCGATAGCTGTATAATTTTACTCGCTCACGTACGGTAGTAATAAGCGAGGACAGAGCCGGATGACAAGGTGACTTTTTCACGCGTCGAAAAGTAGCGTATGTTGTCGAGGATTTTTAAAAAATCGAAACTTTTCAACGTAAACGAATAATAATGATGAAAATAGTATTAAAAGAGTGTCCGAAGCATGGACTTTCTCACGCAAAAATCGTCAGGTTCGTAGCTCCTTTATCTTCGGAGGAGATAGCTGATATACGGCGAAGCAGCGCGCTTTATACGCAAAAAAGTCATTCTTGACGTCGTTCGAGATTCGTTTACTCGAAACGGGTACCGTAAACGAAAAAACGTCTCTCCGCGTAATTTGTAGCGCTCGCCGAGATGTACGAAACGCGGCACGCGAAATTCCTTTTCTCTTCGGCATAAGGGAGATATCGTAGTTTTCAAGGCGATTCGTCATTTTGTCGCTTTTTTTTCGAACGTTTCTAGAAAAAAAACCGAGACGCGGAACCGAACAGATTTAGCTTATTGGTACGTATTTCTCGTTTAGCTATCGAACGAGACCGATCTCGAGTCGATATTTCGATAAACGGCGAAACAGTGTGAAATAACGCCGCGTACCGTCCGGAAAACGGTCGATTTTTCGACTTTACCGGCCGTTTTCGATCCGATCCGTTCCTCTCGCCGCGACGGGTCCGCTCCCCGGTAAAGCGCCGAGTTTCTACTTTCCGAAACGGTACCTTTTCCCTCCGAACGTACCGCGAACCTCCTAAAAAACCGCGAAAACCGCGTCGACGTCGCACGGCCTGACTCTAACGTCACGTGACCTTCTAAGGAAAAACAATCGATCACCGCTTAATATAGTCGATAAACGAAATCGCCCTTCCTAATACAAACAGGTCCGAAAGAATTCTCAGAATTGAGTTCGGAACACGGCCAACTTCAAATCCTAGAAAAACGTCTACCGTCTGGTACGCCATGTTGCAATTGTTTTTAACGGTCGTCGCGTGCCTTCTACTCGCGCTATTCGGGAGCTTTATTTTCAGTGTTTTCAAAGGGAAAATTCGGCCGCACCCGGAAAAGTGTGTTCGTAGCATGTAGAGTAAGTGTTCGGCAGTTTTTGTAGCGGTTTGCACCTTTGATTACGGGAAGAACGAAGGAACACTTCAGAGATACCGCGGACTTCTTACATGGGGTCTTCGGTAACGCTAATTTCTGCGTTTTGAGAGGAATGTGCTAGTGGCGTATGGAATAAGTGCTTGTAGTGATTTGCATTTTTGGATTACGGGAAGAATGAAGGAGAACTAAGCTGATACCGCGGTACAGACATGGCCGGAAAATGGCAAGTGCTAGTTTATTTTATTTTTAATTATTTTTACATGATGTGTGTTTTTTGGAATTTGCTTATAGTGCGTCGTATGCACAGAATCAGTTTATCTCAAAATAGTAAAATCATATACCAGAAAATGTTTATGAGGACTATCTACATTGGGGTGGGCGCTTATCAGCAAAATATAGGGCTGAAAATGACCCTTGATACTTATCAGACCGCCTTGGACTTTTACAGCTAGCATATGCTGGATGTTTCAAATTTGATCTTCAGAACAGGTAACTGGGAAACGGCAAGAGTTATGTTTTTATGAATTTTACCTCTGTCTTCAACCGCCTGAACCGCTCGAGCGATAACTAAACTTTTTTCAACTGCAATAGTAAAAGCTTAAATTTAAATCTACTGATTTCTATATGGAATATTATTTTTGCAATAAGTGTTTAGGTAGGTCAGGTTTCGGTAGTAGCTTTTCACATAAATAATACCATTCAAAAGACATCGAGTTTTACATGCAAGATTATAATTTTCAATCAATTTCTGACAACTTTTTCCATATACTACAACAGCTTATCTGTCTAACGGAAGTGAATGAGCCGTATTCATAAAACAAAGGATATCCTTGTACTTGCAACTTTGAAGGAAATCATCCAGATGGTATTTATAATAATTTCAAGTAAATGCTTTTGCTATTTGAGTATAAGCATATCCTCCAAAGCAGTGACATAAGTAAAAGGATATTTATAATCTTCACTTATACTGCATAAAGCATATCCTTAAAAAATTCTGAGTGTGGGCAGTCGTAGACTCAACTTCGTAACGAAAGATGGTCAAACGATGATGGCGGAAATTGTGGATGTTAGGGATGTTAACCCTCCATCGCTCGCGCCTCATTCTATTACACCATCGCTCGCGTGCTAGATTTTATCTAACATTCAGATGTTCAATAAAAAAGCTATTTTTACTTTAATTAAATGTTTATATTGTCAAGTATACTATTAAGCTATACATTAAAAATTATTGTTATAAACTATAACAAAAATACTAACGAAATACTGAAAATTCTTCATCTAAAATTTCTGAACTGAAGGTTTCTTCTTCTGATGTTTCATTCTGGAATCCTTTAGAGCTGAAGGAAACCCTAAAAAATAAATGCAGGGTATATTGAAAGCGTTTACATAAATGCTTTACAAAACACTTACGCACTTTAAACATTCTCGTTACGTCCATAGCATTCACGACAGGTCAATGAAGTTATTGCTGTATGTTCCTTGCATATCGGTGATCTACAGATTGAACAATTTCTCTGAGTGAACCTGTTTTTCACAATGGACAGAATTCACATTTCACTTTGGCTTGAGTGGCTTGGTCTCTATTTGGGGTGGTCTTTCTCCAGTTATGTTTCTAATCTTTTGACTAAGTAGATAAGGCAGACTTGGAATCTGAGAACGTCTGTACAGGTGAGGCATGACAAGCAATTTACTAAGTTCCGATATAAATTATCTTCTGGTAATAATATTGTTTGTGTTCTCTCGATAGATTATTTGGCTGTTGGTGGTTGATATATTCAGAAGCCCACAGAATACGGTATATGGCCATCTATTACTGAATCGTGCTGTTGAATATTCAGATTTCATTTTGTCGACCACATCTACGCCTCCTTTCGTAAGATTATAGTCTGTAATAACTTCGGGCTTGAAAGCATCTCCAGTGTCATCGTCGACCTTACCATCATCATGCAGGGTTGATAATAACAGCACGTTTTTGTTTCGCTTTGGTACATATGAAACAAGAAGGCGCTTATTGGGGTTTTCATTCGAGTCTTCACCATATGCAAACAGGCTGCTTTTTACTGGTCTATTTTTCACATCTAGAAGTTCTCGAGGAATTTGAGGCTTATTTTTGCGCATTGTTCCTATTGTAGTTAGTCGATGGTTTACTAATAAGCTACACTGATCAACAGCCAAAAAATATCCTAAATAAAATCAACAAAATATTACTATTTTTAATGTGCTAAAACCGGAATGAAACTTATTTTTTCAATATTAGTTCAAGTTTTAGAGATACGGTAATTATATGTGTTCCTGCTGTGACAGTGTTAATATACTGTAATTCACAAGGATGCACGTGCTACATTTTTATATTCGGCAAGGAAAGATGATGTAATCGGCATGATTGTGTTACGTTATACATACGTGTACATTATATTGTTTTATATTAGCCATTTTTCCTCAGTTGGCTGACAGCGTTCATGCAAGATGTCTCGAAAGTGTGTAAACAATCCAGATCAGTTTTGTTACGTGTGTGGTGATGTGACTTTTGCGTCTCAGAGACGGTCTATTACTCCACTAATAACATAGTCATATTAGCTTTATTTCGGTTGTAAACTATGTGATCAAGACAAACAGTGGGCACCCCACATCTGCTGTAATACATGTGCTTCAAGTCTGAGGAGCTGGTTAAATGGCAAAAAGCGGTCTATGCGCTTTGCTGTCCCAATGGTTTGGAGAGAGCCTACAATCATATTAATGATTGTTACTTTTGCATGGTACCTTGTGTTGGACAAGCCACAGGTATGTCCAAGAAAAAAAAATCGGTTATTAACTACCCAAACGTACCATCTGCGATGAGACCTGTGCCTCACAGTGACGAAAATCCTATTCTAAAACCCCCAGAATCCTACACTTGCGAATCAGAAACGAATCAGATCATGGCGATCGAGTGATTCGTCATGAAAAAGATATGCCATCAACGTCAAGAGATCCTGATTTTATACCGAGCACGTCATGCCACCAACCGCACAAAATAACACAGTCAGAATTAAATGATCTTGTAAGAGATTTAGAACAACAAAATGTAACAGGCAGAGTTACTTGGATCAAGACTGCAGTGGAACTTGTTAGAAGACGATGTTTCGGTATGTGTTTTTCGTAAACGCCACAAAGACTTAGAACCATTTTTCAATATGGAGAATAACTTGGTTTTCTGCAGTAACATTAACGGCTTACTGGCGGCTTTAAATATAAACTATAACCCAGAAGAATGGAGATTGTTTATAGACAGTTCAACATTGAGTTTAAAGGCAGTGTTATTGCATATTGGAAATTTTTACCATCTCTTCCTGTAGGGTATGCAGTTCACATGAAACAATCATATGACAATATGAAGTACCTATTGACATGCATAAAATGCGATGAGCACCAATGGCATATTTGTGGCGATTTGAAAGTTGTTACACTTTTACTTGGGCTGCAGCTAGGCTACACAAAGTTTTGCTGTTTTTTGTGTGAATGGGACAGTGGGACAGTCGGGCAAAGGCACTTCATTACACCAGACAAAACTGGCCTGTTCGTCAATTCCTAGAGCCAGGTCAAAAAATGTACAGCATATGCCTTTAGTAGATTCGAAAAAAAATTTATTACCACCACTGCATATCAAGTTGGGCCTAATGAAAAACTTTGTCAAGGCATTAGATAGAGATGGGTCAGCTTTTCAATACCTGCGTCAGAAATTTCCAAGACTAAGTGAGGCAAAGGTTAAAGAAGGTTTTTTGTTGGGCCACAGATTCGAAATATTTTGAAAGATACACAGTTTGAAAACAAAACAGGTATTGATAAAACTGCTTGGAATGATTTCCGTCTGGTGGTCACTAATTTCTTGGGAAATAGAAAAGCTGACAACTATAAAGCCCTTGTCAAAAATATGCTGCATCGTATCAAAAGATGGGGTGTAATATGTCTCTTAAGATACATTTCCTACACTCACACCTGGACTTTTTTCCTGACAATTGCGGAGCCGTAAGTGATGAGCACGGCGAACGTTTTCATCAGGATATCTCAACAATGGAAAAAAGGTACCAGGGAAAGTGGAATCCTTCCATGCTTGCAGACTACTGTTGGACTCTTGGTAGAGATGCTCCAAAAACGATCCATAAAAAGAACAGCAAAAAGACAGCGCATATAGTGAATCTTGTTACTTTTTTTAATATATCCTTAAAAATAAAAGTTTTTTTCTAAACCACAACTAATTTTTTTATTTCATTGTCATTTTTGGATTCAGCGCCCCAAAATTAACAAAGAAGTGCACTTTTCCCACAAGATACAATTAAAAAACTAAAATTTGTTGTCCAGTGTATTAGCCAATGGCACTGAGGTGAAATAATTGTCAGTGGTTACATTTCTTCCTGTACCACTAATTGGCTCTATAAGTCGCAATACAACACTCGCTGCGTCATTTTTTAGTTGAAATGGTCCCTCTGGTTGTTTACCCGCGTAGATTTCAAGATTTGATGTAAAAAATGTTCTGGCGTCTACTAATCCATAGATCTTTATGCCGTATTTGGCGGGCTTGTTGGCTATGTATTGTCTAAATCGGCATCTGCCCCGAAATGCCTCCAACATTTCGTCAATTGTTACGTAACATCCCGGAGAATAAGCTTGTTTACAATTTGTTACGAATGTTTCAAAAAATTGGCGAATCGGAGTTAGATTATCAATTTTAGAAGTCTCATGTCGTTTGGTGGCATCATCAAATCTAATAGATTGAATCAACTGATGAAACTTTTTTTGGACATAGTAGCGATAAAGAAGTCAGGTGCTGTACCATCGGTTTTCCACATTTCTTCAGGTTGAGGTGTTGGGCTTTCTTTACGCCAGCCATATAAAGGATTCCAGTAAATGCTAGCATTTCGTCATAGTCAGTTGGAGGACAGTCTCGGGGGCGCTGATAAGATTCTCTCATCAAATCTAACTTCAGATTTGTATATTTTACAATATCATTTATCATCGTATCTGTAACAAACAACTTCCAGCAGTGTATAATGGTTTTTGCATTTTTTGCATAACTTTTTACTCCAGGAAGTTTTGTAACAAGATTATGGGCTTTTGTCTTGCCTTTGGGTGCAGGTGGTTTTTGTTTGAACCAAGGTGTTTTATCTTTTCCGTAAAATTTAGGTATACCATCAATCAAGATCTCTGGAGATTCAGGAAATATCCCAACTGTTTCATCTCCAGACTGTTCTGTATCTGTGTTATACTCATTATGCTCTGAAGGCTGATCGCTCAGATCATTATCGGAACCAACCAACTCTTCGTCGGTCTGAATCTCTTCATACCATTGCATCCACTGCTTTTGAATTTTTTCATCCATGGCTATACTGAAAAAAGATATTTGATAAGTTGAAAATAATTAATAAAACAATAAAACTTACCGAGCCACTAGTTATATCAAATTTACTAAGGATAGTTTATCCAGAATCCGAAAATTTTACACACGCCGTCACTCGCGTCGTTAGATTTTATCTAACCCGCGGCCGAACGCCATCACTCGCGTGCTAGACTGGAACTAACATTATGCGATTGCGGCACTAGAACAAAATAGCTCCCCCCCACGACCACAGATTCACATAGTAGATTAGTTTGAAGGAGTATTCCTAGATGGTGCGCCTGCTAAACCGCGTAATTTCAAATTTATGAGAAAAATTTCAAAAAATGTTAGATTTTTCTAACGGTGCGAGCGATGGAGGGTTAAAACGTACAAACCTCGTTTACACTTGGTCGTGACCTCAAAAATTATATCGGTTCGACGAAGTAAATGTACAATGGCTTGCGGACACATTTTTAGTTGAGAATGAGGAAGCTCGAGGAGTAGCACTTTCATGTATTCATAAAATGAAGATATGTCTACGCTATCTCGGTTACCCTGGATATCAACAAGGTCAGGAACTTGGTGTTACTCAAGCAACGGTATCTCGGACTGTGGATAGAGTTGTGAACACCATAGCTGCACAGTCGAACGAATGGATCAAGTTTACAACTACCAACCATGAACTGTTGGAGGCCAAGCGGATATGGCAAAGCATGTATAAATTTCCGACAGCAATTGGTGTATCTGATTGTACACAAATAGGAATCCTGAAACCACATCGCCATGGAGATGAGTATATCAACCGGAAAGGAAAACCTACTTTAAATGTGCAAGCCACTTGTGATGCCAGTGAGATGTTCACAAGTGTTGATGTCAGTTGGCCTAGATCAGTGCATGATTTATGGAGAAATTCACAGACTAGATCTCAACTAATAAATAAAGCAAATGTTGTACTACTTGGCGATGACTGCTATGGTATTGAGCCATGCCTTATGACTCCCTTCAGAAATCCTACTCCAGGTGCACAAATAAATTATAATAAGCTTTAAAACAAGAAAGAGTTAAGCATC